TAACTGTTCTGTGCCTCAATTAACTTACCTGTAAAATGGGAAGAATAATAGTAATTATTTCTCAGTGTTTGTGAGGATTAGATTGGTACAATAAAGCATTTAGAACAGTACTTGGAACATAAGAACTCAACGAAATGCTAGCTAATACGTCTATTATCCTGACTAGCTTCACCCTCTCAAACTAACTCTGTAAGCTAGACTGGGAGACAATTTTATTTTCCTCTAGGCTTAGCTACTTTGGTGATCCCCACTGCTACAAAGTGATGAAATACCCGATATGTGAATTGTAGGAGGATTGGAAGGAAAGGGTTATATGTTGAACGCAGAAAGTTCTAAATACTGCAGTATTTTCTCCTTAGGGGCAGCAGAACCAGCCCTTCATGCCTTCACAGCCACTTACCTTTCCCTGTTCTCATTCCACACAGTGACTGAAAATAGGTCAGCGTCAGGACCAGCCTGTTTACTCAGTGAATAACAAGAGCATACTAAGGTGAAGGTGTCAAATTGGTGTGAAAATTATTAGCCGAGATGTTGGAGCGCATATTGAAAAGGAGGTTATTAGGAAATAAGTAACGTTTGAAGAGAAAAGGGCTATTTGCAAAGGGAATCCTTTGGGGACATGAGAAGACCATCCAAATAGGAAAAAAGTTGAGAAGTCTTTATTCTACGCGGTCGGCATTGCAAGAGCTGCTGCTTGCTCCATGCTGTGTTTTCCCGTGGGGTTGTGTATTTTTACCAGTCCCCAGTTTCTAATGAAAACATGTTTTAACTCCTACCCTGAGGGTTCGAGTTAGCATGATGGGTAGAGGAGGATGTCCACAGTTTTCTTGTGGGAAGGTGTCAGCCAAGTCCCACCCTCTGGCCTGCAGGGGCCAAACTCAAGTGAGAAGTAAACGGTAAACCACAAAGGAGACCCTTGTTTTAGGGATGTGTAGCAGTTTAATAACTGGAACTCAGAATATATTTGAGCCCTTGAAATGTGTGCCAGGTACACTTATAGTTGAGCTCAGACAGGAAGAGGTAACTGTGGGGAAGGCTGACAGCTTCTTCTAGGAAATGATTCCATTACCTGGAAGTCAGGTTGTCTTTTCATTAGACCTTGAAGTTCAGAGTCATGAGCCCAGACTTTGTTCCTGAGAGAAACTTCAAAATGTGATACATGTGGTATGAGATGATGGGTGTTAACTAAACTTACTGGGGTAGCCGTTTCCCAATATGTGTATTGGGAAACTATTATGCTGTACCCCTTCAACTTAGAGTGTTGTATGTCAATTATATCTCAATAAAACTGGATACTCAGAGCTTAGTAACACCCAGAATTAGATGAAGTGAATACACCGAGCATTGATAATGTCATTAAAAGCTCCATTTTTAAAGTTGGAGCTGGGTTGCTGCAGAGCTCAGGAGAAAAAGTAGCTTTGGGCAAAAGGAAATCATGAAGTCAGGAAGAAATAACTGTGTCGAGGCCCTGGTGACAGCCTTGCAACAAGGAAGGTGGCTCTCCAAGGCAGGCTTAATTATGTCCTCTGGCCCATCCCCCACCTTCCAAAGGTGCTGTGGTGAGTAGAGCTTAATCTGGCTTCCACAGGACCTGTGAGCCATGGATGCTCTGTGTGTGTGTGTGTGTGTGTGTGTGTGTGTGTGTGTGTGTGTGTGTGTGTGTGTGTGTCACACGCCTTCCTCCCTGCACTGCCCTCCTTCCCTGCAACACACACACCACCGATGGGGAGGCAAATCGATTCTCTTGCCACATACGCACTAAGTTTCCCTTCCAAGCCTTTGAGGTGTCGGAAGGGCTGTAATCTTGAGTCTGACAAGAACAATCCCTGTACGCTGTTTCCCATTAGCATCCCCTGTCAAAGCCCAGGGGATGAAAGCCTGCTTGCAACCCTGCCTCACCCGCCTGCCTGCCGAGACGCCTGCCAGGACGGCTCTCCACTCTCCCAGTGTCTCAGAGCACACTGTTGTGGAGTTCTGTTTATAGCACTTGCCCCAATCTGCTCCTGAATCAAATTTAATGGTGTCTTTTTCCCCCGTATTTAGAGCTCCTGCAGGCTGAGCCTTGCCTATTTTTTTGAGTATCCTTCTGTCGTGCCTGGCAGTAGATTTGAGGCTGTCCCATTTGCGATCCAGTCCACGTTTATTAGATGTTATGCTTTGTTCCAAGGGATCATATAGCCTCTTCTTCAGAGGTGTCAGTTTATCATAATCCTTACATCACATAATTATGCTTGTCTATTTGAGTCGGCCTGCCCCTAATAAACAGTGGCCCATTGTTCTTTGTTACCCTTAATACCTGTACCTTCTCAATAAATAACTCTTGAATTAATAGATAGTTAATGATGTATACGAGTATTTCTTAAACCGTATTTAAAGTAATGTAGGCTGTTTGTAGTAGGAGAGTAAGAAAAGGCTACCAGGAAAAAAAGGTTGAGGAAAAAAGGATTTGAAGATCTTATCACCTTCAAATATTTATTAAACAGTAGGAAAGAGTAGATACTTTTTTTTTAAGGAACACAATTTCTTCCATAGCTACTAATAAGGTTGTGGTTAAATTTTTAAACATACATTACTATTCATGACTTAGATTTATTTCATAAAACTTTCTGGGTTGATGGTTAAATTTTGAACTGAGGACTTGAGAGATACCACCATGATTATAAATTTATTAGCTTGGTGATTTAGTGGTCATTGCTCAAGTGATAATTTATTATGCTTTCAAAAATGTTTTCCAAAATAGTAATGAATTTTATATGACTGGGCCTTTTTTTTAGAAATTGAAATAGAATTTGTTTTTAACCTTCAGTGGCTGTATGATTGGGATATTATTGAGGTACTTAAGAGGGAAGATGTGATGATTATTGGTTTTTAATATTTGGAGCCCCACCTGTTCTTACATGGGCACTAGGAGTTTATTTGTTCACTAAGCAAGTATGTGAGAGCCACACTAAGCAAATGTACACGCCCGAGGTACATGCCTCTGTGAGATCACCTGTGTGTGTGTGTGTGTGTGTGTGTGTGTGTGTGTGTGTGCGCGCGCGCGTGCACGTGTGAGCGGGGACAAGTAGTGAAGGCTTGATTCCCACTTGCCTGTCTTGGGGAAGGTGTATAGCTGCAGGAGGGGGACATACAGCTACAATGTCTCTCACCAGTGTAACATCCACAGTAAGGAGCTTGCCCGGAAGACAAGGGTTCCTAAGCCCGGGGAAGTGGGGGAGTCGGGTGGGGGGTGAGGTGAGGAGCTGGGGAAATGCTTTGTGGATCATGTGCTATCCAAGACGAGTATAAATGGGAGTTTCTCAAATACACACGGGGAGGGAATGACATTCTTGGCCAGTGGATGTCAGGCCACACAGACGTGAAAGAGCTTTGTATTTGGACTGTGGGGTTTTTAAAAAAACAAAAAATCTATAACGTAAAATGTGAGGGGCTGAGTGGCAAGAGACAAGGATGAAGAGGACAGATTAGATCACAAAGGGCCCGGCATGCCATTCAAAGGACGTGTAGTGGTAGCATGGAGGAGACTGCTGTTCTTGGATTCATCCAACTTCCTGTCTTCACCCCCTAACGGTTCCTCCTCATCTTTTCTCTCCCGCAGTCCTGGTTGCCCAAGCCAGAAATCTAGGTATTTTCTTTATCTGGTCTTTGGCTATCATGTCCCACATCTGATCAGTAACCAACTACCACCCCCTCTTCTTTTTAAGTTTCTGTCTCATCTATTCATGTCTTTCGGTGCTCTGCGCCCTGGGTCTAGATTCCATTCTTGTTGTTGTAACGGGCTCCTACATGGTCCCCAGCCTGCCACCCCTTTCTTCTCCAGCCCATTGTCACACTCTAGCCAGAGAGAAACTTCTGAATGCAAACCCGATCTTGCCAGCCCCTGCTCAGGGTGATCTGTGTGTGGCCTCCTGTTGCCCTTGGGTGAAGTTCGCTCCTTGACCTGGCCTTCAGGACCCTGCAGCTCAGCCTCCGGCTCCCCAGGCTCTCTCTCAGCTCCCCCCAGATCATCTCGGGACTCACCTCCTGCCCTGCACGGCCTTCTCCTGCCCCTGCTCCTCCCCCGGGCCCTGTCACCTGGGTTGTTACTTCCAGAGAGTATTTCCTGACTTTTCAAATCTGGATTTAGAGCCCTCGTTCTGTGGACCTCCCATACTCAGTATTTGCCAAACTGTCACAGGTATGAAACTTGCTTAATTGTCTCTTTCCTATAAGAGACTGAATTCTGGGATGGCATAGACTGAGAGTCGCTTGTCTACCATTTTATTTCTAGCCCCTGGTAATAGTGCCTGATAAGTAGTAGGTATGTATTGAATATTAGATCCATGAATATCTAAATTACCTACTCCCATGCTGGCACAAAGAAGAGTATCAGTAAATGATGGTCAATTTTATTGTTTATTATCATGTACGACAGCTGCAACTATTATCTATCTATAGGCAATAATTTCACAGGTACAGATAGGTTATGATAAGGACTGAAAGATGACCATTAGAAGAGACAAGTGAGAAAGTTATGGCCGATCTTTGCTGATAAATGCTCTGAGAAGTGGTAAGGGCACAAGCCACTGTACAGTGATTTAAAGAGTAGCACCCAGGAGAGGAGGCGGAGGCCCAATCAAAGATAAATTTGTAAAAACGGTTGACTGAAAAGGAAAACACTTAGAGAGGGCAGCAGTTAGAGAGGCAGCAGGGTCTGAGGAAAGTATTTTTAGATAATGAAAGAATACTGGACCTGTTCGCAGGCTGAGGACAAGATTCCAGCCTGCGGACAGGTGCAGAAACGGGTGTGGCGTCGGACCAGGCCCGTGACTGGAAGCACTGGCCCTGCATCTGAGGGGCGAGGGAGAAGGCATCCCCAACAGTGATGGAGAAGGGCGATGGGAGGGCTGGCAGGAACGTGGGCAGGAGTCCGGGGAGACGCAAACGCAGCAGTTGAGGGTGATACAAGCACATTCAGTTCTGTTGCCCTAACCTACTCCCGGCTTTCTTTTTACCTTCAGCTGTTCGGGGGACTCGTCTGGATTTTGGTCGCCTCCTCCAACGTCCCTCTCCCCCTGCTCCAAGGATGGGTCATGTTTGTGTCCGTGATGGCTTTTCTCCTGTCCCTCCTCTTCCTGGGCCTGTTCCTCTCTGGCATGGTGACTCAGATCAATGTCAACTGGAACTTCCTGGTAAGGGATTTGCACGTCTTTTCCAGGAAAATGTGGGAAGCATGCTATCTCGTTACGTCCTGTTCTATCTGTTGCCTCTGATGGGTGAGACGAGGTCAGACCGCAGGGCCTGCTGCGGTGCCGTGTGGCCATGTGACCACCCTGCTGGTCAGCAAGGTCCCAGTTTGTGAGATTCCTGTGTTGACAGAGCTGAGCGATCTTTCTGTGACTCCTTTATGAGTTAGATGACCTTTACTCAAAGGCTGTTCTACTTCATACAACAAATGAGTTGCATTATAGTTATTGAACTATTGAACAGATGCCTTTAATAGATGAGTGCCGTGACATATATCTTGAAATTTTCCATTGATTTCTGTTTCAGTTATTAAATACATATATTCTTTTCAGAAAACAAATAGCTATATATTCTACTCTCCAAATAGAAAAGGGGATGTTTTATATTGATAGGCTTCTCCCCAGTTCCCACACCTCAGAGATATCGCAGGTTTGGCTCCAGACCACTGAAAAAGCAAATATCACCATAAAGTGAGTTGCAGGAATTTTTTGGTTTCCCAGAGCATATAAAGTTGTGTTTATTCTATACTGTAGTCTATGTAGTGCATTATGTCTAAAAAAAAACAAAAAAAAACAAAAAGCTGTGTACCTTAATTTAAAAATACTTTATTGCTAAAAAACGCTAGGCTTCTTAATTGACGTAATTTCCATATTGTTCTGTCTCAAGGAAAAGGGGGACCCGAGAAGAGGGAAAGAGATGGGAAACAGCCAGCTGATGGAGCAGAACACACAGCATTTATCAATTAAGTTTGCTGTCCTCTATGGGTGCAGTTTATGGCACCCCAAAACAATTGCAATAGTAACATCAAAAGTCACCGATCACAGATCACCGTAACAAATATAATAATAATGAAAAAATTTGAAATGTTGTGAGAGTTACCGAAATTCGATACAGAGACACGAAGTGAGCAAATACTGTTGGAAAAACAGTGCTAATAGACTCACTCGATGCAGGGTTGCCACAGACCTTCAATTTGTAAAAAAATAATACAATATCTGAGAAATGCAAAAAAGCAAAACACAATAAAAGGAGGTATTGCCTGCATTTTCAATTCCTGTGCTAAATGATCAAGAATTGGTCAATTTTAAGGAAAGAATTTGCAATCAACACAATTCTTAACACGATGGCACCATTCAATTGGATCAACTTATGTCCCTTTCCCATGTCATGTAGGCCTCTTTCATGCCTGTGGTTATTCATTCTCTGGGCCTATCTCGGAATGGCCCAGTGGATCATCAGTTCTAATCCACGGTGGACAGCCCTTTCAAGACGTTCATGACGAACCCCTCTTAGATGTCCACCACACTTGGGTGGTTAGAAGCTTAAATCAGGCCTCTGTCAGGCTTCATAGATGCCCCTTTCAAGTATGGTAGCATTTTATTCAGTAGCTTTAGGATAGCTGTTAGAGGAAATATTTGTTCTTGTCTCATTTACAGAGCATAAGGAGAACTGTCTTCCCGAATGTCATCAACAGTCACATCTAGTGAATGTGGCTGCCTGCGTTACACCAGCCTAGAGGTGAAGGCTTGGGTTAGTGGAAAGCTAAGAAGGAAGTATAGTGCAGTGGTTACAGCCGTGCACAGGCTTCGAAGTTAGGGCTGGTGTGCTTAATTACTGTGGAGCCTCGGGCCAAATATTGAACCTGTATGAATTTCAATTTCTTCCCCTGTAAAGTACTACTCATGCCTACCTCACCAGATGCTGTTAACAAATAATAGAAATAATGTATTATTAAATGCTCAGCTTTGTGTCTGATTCATAATAAGTGATCGATAATCATTAGAATTCCTTAGACACGCCGAGGCTTGCAATACAAATCTTTGAGAGTCCTTCTGTATGTGCTTACCTTTTTGCCTTGATTTCTCATTAACGATGGGAAAATATTTCTAATAATTGGTCAAGTGATGAAGATCAAAGGTCCCTATTTCAGTTACAGTTGGAGGCTTAATCTCCTCTTTCTAAGTGCCTCGTTTTCCCATAATATGTATGGATGAATCAGTCAGTCCCTGACATTGGTCAGCACCCCCAGGTTCTTTTAGGATCAGCCTCAAAGGTGGTATTTGACCAGTATGTACTAGCATAGCCCTGCTGGAACTTAACTACTAGTTAACACATAGTGATTGCCCAGCGTACTACCTCGTCCCAGGTGCTGTGCCCCGCGTTACCTTGGCCCTTCCTCTTGGACTTTCCTGGATCTTCTAATAGCCCAGCAACTAAAGGGTTAATAGCCAGAAAAATAGTGAGTCCCCAGGATCCTGCAGTGCCCAGGCTTCTTTCTAAGTGGCTGAAGTGCATGCCTTACCCATTTTAAATATTTTGTTCCAGTATCACTCCTGGTTTTATTAGACATATGTCCATACCATCCTTTTACTTTTTGCTTATATTGAGTCATTGGTATTGAGGACAGATATCCTAAATTGTATTTTCCCCAATTTGTATCATTACATCTGATATTCCATCGGACAATAAAATGTAAGAGGGTTTTTCTTTATTTTTTTAAATTAAATCACTTTTATGAAAGAGACAGTTGAAATTAGGAAGACCTACCAGTCTGTTCCATAGGTCACCTGCAAAGTTTCTCCTGGGTTTTTTTTTTTTTGAGCTGGAGTAATCCACTGTAATGTGGGGGAAAGTGGTAATAGCAGCACAGAGCACACAGTCACTACACAGGCTCGCTATATGGTGGACGTACTTTCAAGGAGCCAATTCTTGCCTTCAAGGAGTTTACTTATATGCTTGCCATATTTAGAAAGCGCTTTTTGTTGTTGTTGTTGTTGTTGTTGTTCTCTTCTCTTGAGGTTTCCTACATACTCAATCATTTTTGACCACATGGTTGCTTTGGATAGGTTTTGTAATATATCTTGTACCCTCTCAGCCAGGAACGTTTTTGAGTCATGCATGGCATTGTCACCAGATGGCAGCAATTTTTAATTCCTGCATCCTGGAGTTGTTAGATATTAATTGCTCAAAAAAATAATTGTTTCCTCCTGTGATAATAGTTTCATGTTGCTTATGTACCATGCATGAAGGACGCAAGTGTGCATTTTCATAAAGAATGAATTTTCTAGAAGTATTTGTTGTGGGATATTAACTGGCATATTTATAGCTTCTAGCTGTTACTGATCATGAGGTTATATTAACATGCATGGTAGATGTCTCCAGTATTTTCCCCAAGCTCTCTAGCATTTGTATAAATGGTGAAATAAAAATATGATATGTAATAAAAAAGAAAGTGGACTTTGGAACTAGACAGACCTATATAGTTTGAGTTCTCCCTTCAAAGCTTCATCTTTGTGTGGCTTTGAGACAGTCACTTAACTAAAAAGAGAAAAAATTCATCACTTGTAAAATGGGTTAATAAATGGTGGTTTTAAGGATGTTAACAAAAATACAAAGCAATGTGTTGATAATATATTAATTCAGGTAAGATAATGTGAATTTTTAGTAGAGTCATGCTTCATATTAATGCCAGCATCATATGTAATAACCTAATAACAACTGGGTTTTGTATGGGAAATTCCTTTATTTTTTTGTAGAAGTATATGATTTTATTACTTTTTTTTTTTTAGAATGTCAGGAGAGGAAATGTGCTATTGAATTCTATGATTTCATAGGTCTTCTGTGTCTTTAAATGTATGGGGTGACAATCTAATGGATAAAAATAATAATTGCTCAAAAATAAATTACTTAATTATAAAATGTATGTATATATTACTATATAACTGTATAATAGTATGGTAATATAGTTATTGTATAACAACTATAATAACAAGATGTGATTTAAATGCTGTTTTGCTTGAATTTTAAGGACAGCGCCTGTTAACCTGTTTTTAGGTTATGTTAATTAATATTGATCTCAATGGCACCTTAATCTACACTGAAATTCTACACCTTATTATAAAATTCAGTGTATCGGAAGGTTTGCCACTATGGAATCACGGTTGGCCAGTTGATTTTCATTTGGATTCTAACAGCTTGACGTTGCTAAAGCAGACACCAGAAATGGCCGACACAGTTCAAAGATTGATTAAATGTTCTAATCTTCTTGAACCTCAACTTCATCATTTGAAATAAGGACCAGAAAAAAGATCTTCTTATTTGTAACTGCAGATGTCTCTCTTTCCCCTCCGCTTTCAGGACTTTGCTTACCATTTTACAGTGTTCGTCTTCTACTTCGGAGCTTTTTTACTAGAAGCAGCAGCCACATCCCTGCATGACCTCCACTGCAATACAACCATGACTGTGGAACCGCTCTTGACTGATGGCCAGTATAACATAAACGTAGCAGCTACAGTAAGTGTTGATGGCTACAGTTGACCATCACTTCCCTTCCACTGTCAAGGTCTCCAAGTAACTCCTCAGGCAACCCTAGTTTTCTTAAATAACAGCCATTAGCATTCAACATAGAATAGCTATGTATCTGTACAATAACCTTATGAGCCAAGTGCTATTATTGGGGGTGATGCAATGGAAGCACAAAGGTGTTGACATTCCGGTAAGATTATATAATATAATAGCAGTCAGTGGTGGCGGTTGGCTTTGCACAACGAAGTCGACTTTGCAGAAACAATTAATTGTACCTTTTACTTCATGTAACTTCAGACATGGGAAGGGAGATTTGTTCAATAACAAATGTCCAGTACCTATTTGTAATTCATTTTCATTCAGTGAATATTTACCAAGAGCCTACCAGGAGGCTGGTAATTTGCTGGGTGTAGGGGACAGGGATGAGTAAGGCACAGTCTCTGCCATTGAAGAAAGTCCAGGTGAGTGGGAGAGGTAAATAGAAATGGAATACATTCCATGGGGAAATTAAAAAAAAAAAAAAAGTATCCTCCTTAATTCATATACTTAAGTGAGTTTATCATTTTGCATTGGCATAGGTAATTTGGATAAATGATACAGTAGTTCTGTTTTTTTAGATAATTTTAAGGTGTCAGAAATCTAAATTATTCCTTAAAAATCTCTTGATGTTTAATATGACTGTTTAGCAAGTTTGTGATCCTAATGTTTTACTGTTTTATACAAATAGCATATAAATGGTCTAGCACTCCCCATATAGCCATTAAAATCTGTCTGGAGTAGTGCTATCCAACAGAACTTTCTAAATTGATAGAAATGGCCTGTATATGCACTACCTAATATGGTGGCTACTCATTAGTTCATTTATTTCAATTCATTTAAGTTTAAATTTAAATAGCCACATGTGTGGCTAGTGGCTCTTATATTGGACAGTGCAGGTCTAGAGCCTGGAATTTGAAGGGTTAGGGCTTGATGATTCTAAGACCTAGTCATAAGTTTCCCAAGTCTGTGTTAGGATTGTCTGAATTCATTGAGAGTCTACAGTGAATTAGACTGAAGGTGGGATTGCAACGGAAAGGAGGCATGGGTCTAGCTTTGAAAGGCTTGTAGTTTAGATCAGTGATTTTTATACCTTCTTTGATAAGAAATGTAACTGTTGTACTTAATGACATCTTACTTAAAACCCAATAACTGTTTACATTTACTAGGCAAAAGCATGCATGCCCTGGTTGGAGTAGAAGAAGAGGGTCTGCAGTGATGCCCACCCTCCCTTCTCATAAAGCTACCTCTGTCCACCTCCTCATCTGTGAGGCACTTTCATAGAATCCTTGTGATCCAAAGATCACAGTTAGAAAACCACTGGTTTTCACAATTTTACAAAGCGAAGTGCAGGGGCTTAGAACTGACATTTTTCTATCAAGTGTCCTTCCTGCTGATCATCAACTGCCATCGATTTTTCTTTACTCCTTCTGTCCCCTCCTTCTCAATG